TTGCCAATAATTTGCAATCTGTCATTTCCATCAGTACTATCAAAATAGAATTTTCCACTTGTAAACAATATTTGCATCCATGTTCGATTTTCTTCACAGAAAAATAAATAAAACATGAAACCGCTTAAATTCATCATAGTGTTTCGTAGGAAAATTGCATCGGTGATGCATGTTTATCATCTTCACTTATTAACTATCTAATGAAGTAATAAAATCATGAAGGTGAGAAGTGAAAAGTTTAATAATTGAAAACCCAGCATCAAACCATTTCAGATGAACTTCCAGAAAGCTATTCCAATGGGAAAAAAACGTTGCAACTACAAAAAAAACAAATATTAAACACGAGAAATTATCAAAAAAAAATAATAATAATAAACAATATGCAACCTTACCAGAGGAATTTTACGGTGAGAACTGAAAATATTAATAATTTGAAAACCCAACACCAAAACATGTGAGATATATAAGAATAATTGAAAGGCGGTAGAATAACTGAAAGGCGGTAGAAGAATATATTTAAAATATCAACCCAATAGTCAACAAATAAGGCTCAATCACTGAAGCAAAACCAGATAAAAAGACTTAGTCAACAAATAACACCAATTTACTATAGAAGAGATCAGTTACTGTAGCAAATCCAGTTCTAAAGAGGGTAAGTGTGAAAAGGAGTGTGACAAAAATGAATAGTGAATTTCAGAATGGCCCTTTTAATAGAGGAGTGATATGTAGAAAGAGATTTGGGTGGAGGAAATATTCTCTGTTTATGTTTACAACTAACCAGATGTATCTTATTTCTTTGATAGAGGGTAGTTGAAAAGATGCTCTCCACTGGATGTCACCACTTTTTACAGATATAGTTGGGGATTGTAGAGAAGTGTTGATCTGCTTGTCCTTGAACGCTTTGTTTTATGGCACATAAAACGTTTCTTGACATGTGTTCTTGTATGGAATGGGTAAAGTATTAGTGTTTATTTAATAACTTCAAGCATTTTAATTGCTTGAGCTCTGTCTTTGGATCCAAGATCCTGTAAATAGCCTTCCGACTTGGCATCAAAGGCCTTCAATCCTATTATAAGCATATTTTCCATGTAAGAGTCATAATGGAACACTGTAAAATTTTACAAAAATAAATATGGTAAATTCAAAATAACACAATCTAATTTTAATGGCATCTATGAGTTCACTTAGTTCTCTTAAAGAGCTGCCATTTTTTGTAGTTTTTCAGCGATTCGAAAAATTTGCATGTGTTTCCTTTTCCGATTAGTTGTATAGATTCAATTTCTATAAGGGTGTTTGGTAGAGATTAAAATCGGATTAAAATTGAAAAATTAGTCGTTATTGTTGACTTTTATTATACGAGAGAGACCCAATAACGACTATATTTTCAATTTTAATTGGTGTCAAACAAGGCCTATATCTTTTGTATCTTAAGTTTTCGATAGGACATGAAAAAATATCTTTTAAGAGAGACCAAGTAGTGATACATTAGTTAATGTTGAATGCTAAGCTTCCATTTTTACTAATCTAGTTTCTATCTGATTTAGTTTTAGGAATTCCTTTGACTAATTTTTTTTGTTTGGAAAATTAAAACAATGTTTCCTTGATGAAGGTTTTCCATTGAGCTGTTGTCTTTACACATACAGGAGGAAAGTCTATTTGTATTTTAAATACCTACAAAAATTATATAATTTTTATAAGGGAAAATTGCGGTCGCGGTCCCAAACCTTTCATTTTGTTGCAAATTACACCTAAACCTTTAATTTTTACTTTCGAAGTCCCAAACCTTTATATGTAATTGCAATGTCTATCCCAAACCTTGAATTCCGTCCGAAAAAACGGTAGCCAACATTGCTATAGTAATTTTGACTCGAAAAAAGTGCAACGCCGTTCCCAAACCTTTCATTTTGTTGCAGATTCAAGCAACCTTTAATTTTTGCGTGTGAAGTCCCTAACCTTTACATATAATTGCAACGTTGGTCCATTTCATGCATTCTGTCCATAAAACCGTCAGTCAATGTTGAAACAATAATTTTGATTCAAATGACAACATTATTGATTGGTAAAATTGTCAAAACAAGTTATCCAAAAAAAATATTTGTCTTCTTCAAATACTTCAATCTTTTCACTACCTTCACATTCTCATAATCGATAACTATCCGATCTGATCAGATAACAATCTAATCCGATTTGTTATAATAATTGAATTGCTAAATTATTTTTATGGCATGTTATCTGTCACAAAAATAAATAAATTGCATTTGATTAAAAATTAAGAATAATATTAAAACAAGTAAAAACATTTCTTTATTAAATACATACAAATTATAGTACCAAATGAAGTTTATTTTTATTTATTTATTTTAGTGACAAATAATATGCCATAAAAATAATTTAAAGATTCGATTATTATAACAAATCTATTATAACAAATCGCATCACATTATTATCTGATCGGATAATTATCGATTATGAGAATGTGATGGCTATGAAAAAATTGAATCATTTGAAGGAGACATATTTTTTGGATAACTTGTTTTGACAATTTTACCAATCAATTAAATTGTTATTTGAATTAAAATTATTGTTTCAACTTTCAACATTAACCGAAAATTTTATGGACGGAATGCGTGAAATGGACCAGCATTGCAATTATATGTAAATGTTAGGGACTTCGCACGCAAAAATTAAAGGTTTGAGACCGACGAGGCAATTTTTTCAAATCAAAATTACTATTGCAACGGACTGCCTTTTTTTGGACGGAATTCAAAGTTTGGAACCAATGCTGCAATTACATATAAATGAGATTTCGACTGCAAAAATTAAAAGTTTGGGTGTAATCTGCAACAAAATGAAAGATTTGAGACCGCGACCGCAATTTTCCCCAGCTTAATTGGTACCTTTTCTGACTTGATACTTTATAGGAATTCATTTCATCCACTAAAAATAAATTGAAAAAGATGTGGGTGGGGTTAATTAATGGGCCTCACCGAATTTGGGTTAAATGAAGAACTTGCATTAGCCCTCATAACCTCTCAAAAATATTTAGGCATGTTGAAACTTTTATTTTGACGTTTGGGCTACTATAATTCTCACTTTACAAAATATAGTTGGGCTCATAAATTTATAGGTCATATCTATCGTGCTATTAACTCCCTTTATTGTCATTTTTATCAAAAGCATGCATGTGTGCAGGTTGAATTTATCAGAGTCGCACAATTCCTGATCGATGTTGTGGATCCAACTACTCAGAAAAATAACTGCCCTAAAGCAATTGGTCAAGGTAAGTTTTCTGTGATTTTTGATTATTTGTATTTTCTCATTTTATTGACTTAATTATATTTGTACATTTTGATCAATTATTCTTCCTTCTATATTTTCGTACATTCTTCGTGTGCTTTTAGATAGGTGTAGTAATGCAGATATCTTTAATCACCACAAACAGATGTTTTGTTTTAAAGAAAGCTCATCATGTTATTTTTTATGTAAGTTCGAGATGAGATGCATTTTTCTTTTCTTATATTTTTGTCTTTTGAATTTTAAATTCTGAAAAAACTTATTTTAAAACAGAATGAATTCAATGACTATCGTATTTTCAACTAATGTTTCACATTTCCTATGCTGCTGAGTCTTATGTTTTTTTCGCTATCGTATTGAAATTTGTGGACAATTCTCCTCCTTTTAGCACCTAATCTAGTTTCGTAAAATATCAGTTTTCGATGAAATAGGGATACACCTCTATATGGGTATTAAGTTTCGTTCTCTCCATCATGGAAATTACACTCAATCTATAAGCCAAGAAATTTTCTCTGTTTCAGTATTCTTGTAAATTTAATTATCTTTGTTTTTCCGTTGAAGCCCAAATACGATAACTCTCCATGTATGGTTGAGGAGGGTACGAACACACAATTGACAACGAGAACATTGCAATGAGATGGGAGGTCGACTATATTTAAATTGAGTGATGATAAGGATTTTGAGTACAAAGTATTTATTAACGTGAATAGAGTTCCGCCATTTGATCTTATGACACGTTCATTCCGACACGTTCGAGTGTGTAGCATTCGAATCATTTTGACTCAATAGATAAGTCCCCTATTATTTGAAATTTTAATGGTTGAAATAGTATTTTTTTTTAAATGTGATTAAAAAGAATAAAAAAATTGAAATTACATATGATATTATTTTATTGAAAAATGTATATATTAATAAAAAAAAAGTGAATTATAATTTTAATATGTGCCAAACATGGGCTAACAGTTTCCATATTTCATTTATTTATTTTATAACCGTGAATATCCAAACCAGTTTGCACGCACTTCAACTAATCCCACAAAGTTTACGATCGAATACTCACCTCAGTGACCCTAAAGAGACTCGAATTGATAACTAATAGAAAGCAAACTCAAAGCTTGACCAATCCCTCAAAGTTTTCATTTATTTTATTCTTGTTTCAATCAGCTTTTGAAGGCATGCACATGCATATAAGATTAAAGGGTAATGCTATATGTGCATAACTCATCTAGGATAATGCTATGTGTACATAGCATTATCCATAGGGGGTGCCATAACTATAGCATTATCTTGGATTAAATATTTCATCCCTATGCTTTATTCTAACTGGTTATTCAAAGAGTTTTAATTTGACTTTTCACAACTATTTTTAGAAAACAAACAATAGACGGGGTTCAACATATCCATCATTACTCCTTCACATTAAAACTTTTACTGTTAGCTTCAAACTAACACAACCAATGCATCGTACAGACAAAGACCAGTAATTATATGAAAACTAGAATTCCATATATCACAGGTGAAGAGAAAAATAACAAGCACTAATTTCCAACTCAACACCATGATAACGTTAACGCAAATGCCAGTTGTAATCCTTGACGGTATTAATCCATTGAACGTGTAGAAAGTAAAAATCGACAAATGCTACATATTTTCAATCATTTTTGAAGAGAGACCTATATTGTACCTCTTTCTAGTCGTACAAATTTCTAATATTTTTTAAAAACTGCAGGGATGTCATGTCCAAGCATGTCATCAACAGCCTGAATCATTTTAAGTTTCAATTTCTCAAACTCCTCAATGTTATAACGACTCAGAACTTCCATAAAGTTCTCCACACTCGGGAAGTCAGTCACTAGTTGGTAGATGATGTTCGCGCTGGACCTGTTACCCAAATTTTTCTTAAAATAAAATTAACAAAATTGAAGCAAAAAAGTACCTCCGGAGTCGGATGAGGGTTGGTTCGTGTGTGTGAGAGAGAGAGACCTTTGCAAATACATCTTCAAGATTATTTATAAGTCGCTTCTGAGTTTTGGATTTGCCCATAAAAGACAACATTTCCTTTTTGAGATGGCTAATTATGTAGGCATGAATCTTGGCAGCTCTTGCACGTTTAACAAATTCATTGATCTGGAAACACATTTTTATGTGTGTCCTACTTGTAAACATTAGATCCAGCTAACAAATTAAATGTGTACATCAAACTATATAAGAGTTTAGCATACCCGGCGATCACAAGCCTTCTTTGGAATGTCCATCAAGTCTACAAGAAGGTCGTCTTGTTCTTTCTCAAAAAGTTCCTACCCTATAGGTCCAAGCACTGCTTCATTAACCAACTTGTCATTAAATGATCTGAAAATTACAAAAATGAAAATAATATCCAAACTTTCAAATCACAATTATATTATAAAATAGTGGATAATTAAAAAACGAAAAAAAAAATGAAAGAGTATGAATGGATTAAATTTCTAAGAAAACCAGTGGCATTCAACTGTAACTGCTATGCTTCTTCCCTCTAATGAAAAGATTGTTTAGCTATTTCCTGAATTATGAGGAAATCATGTTGTGCCTTTTCAAAAAGAAACATAACAATTACAGTTGAATGCCACTGGTTTTTTTAGTAATTTAATCCATTCACTCTCTCTCATTCTTTTTTTCGTTTTTTTAATTATCCACTATTTTATAATATCATTGTGATTTGAAAGTCTGGATATTATTTTCTTTTTTGTGATTTTCAGATCATTTAATGACAAGCCGGTTAATGAAGCAGTGCTCGGACCTATAGGGAATGAACTTTTTGAGAAAGAACAAGACGACCTTTTTGTAGACTTGATGGACATTCCAAAGAAGGCTTGTGATCGTCGGGTATGCTAAACTCTTATATAGTTTGATGTACACATTGAATTTGTTAGCTGGACCTAATGTTTACATGTATGACACTCATAAAAATGTGTTTCCAGATCAATGAATTTGTTAAACGTGCAAGAGCTGCCAAGATTCATGCCTACATAATTAGCCATCTCAAAAAGGAAATGTCATCTTTTATGGGCAAATCCAAAACTCAGAAGCGACTTATAGATAATCTTGAAGATGTATTTGCAAAGGTCTCTCACGAACCAACCCTCACCCGACTCCGGAGGTACTTTTTTGCTTCAATTCTGTTAATTTTATTTTAAGAAAAATCTGGGTAACAATTCCAGCGCGAACATCATCTACCAGCTGGTGACTTCCCGAGTGTGGAGAACTTCAGGGAGGTTCTGGGTCGTTATAACATTGAGGAGTTCGAGAAATTGAAGCCTAAAATGATTCAAGCTGTTGATGATATGCTTGGACATGACATCCCGCAGCTTCTAAAAAGTATTAGAAATCTGTACGACTAGAAAGAGGTACAATATAGGTCTCTCTTCAAGAATGCTTGAAGTTTGAAAATATGCAGCATTTGTCGGTTTTTACTTTCTACATGTTCAATGGATTAAATTTCTTGTGTTACTGTCAAGGATTACAACTGGCATTTGCGTTAACTTCATCATGGTGTTGAGTTGGAAATTAGTGCTTGTTATTTTTCTCTTCACCTATCTTTCCATTCAGTATCAGAGAAATCGAGTGATATATGAAATTCTAGCTTTCATATAATTACTGGTCTTTGTCTGTGCGATGCATTGGTTGTGTTAGTTTGAAGCTAACAGTAGAAGGTTTAATGTGAAGGAGTAATGATGGATATGTTGAACCCCGTCTATTGTTTGTTTTCTAAAAATAGGTGTGAGAAGTCAAATTAAAACTTTTTGAATAACCAGTTAGAATAAAGCATGGGAATGGAATATTTAATCCAAGATAATGCTATGGTTATGGCACCCCCTATGGATAATGTCATGTACACATAGCATTATCCTAGATGGTTATGTACATATAGCATTACCATTTAATCTATATGCATGTGCATGCCTTCAAAAGCTAGTGGAAACAAGAATAAAATAAATGAAAACTTTGAGGAATTGTTCAATTGGTCAAGATTTGAGTTTGCTTTCTATTAGTTACCAGATCGAGTCACTTTAAGATCACTGAGGTGAGTATTCGACCGTAAACTTCAGGATTTCGTGAGATTAGTTAAAGTGCGTGCAAACTGATCTGGATATTCACGATTATAAAATAAATAAATGAAATATGGAAACTGTTAGCCCCTATTTGGCACCTATTAAAATTATAATTCAATTTTCTCACTTTTTTTATTAATATATACATTTTTCAATAAAATAATATCATATGTAATTTCAATTTTTTCTTCTTTTTAATCACATTTTTAAAAAAAAGGCTATTTCAACAATTAAAATTTCAAATAATAGAGGCCAAATAGGGACTTATCTATTAAGTCAAAAGGATTCGAATGCTACACACTCGAACATGTCGTAAGATCAAATGGCGAAACTCTATTCACGTTAATAAATACTTTGTACTCAAAATTCTTAATCATCACTCAATTTAAATATAGCCTATTAAAATTATAATTCACTTTTCTCACTTTTTTTATCAATACATACATTTTTCAATAAAATAATATCATATGTAATTTCAATTTTTTTCTTCTTTTTAATCACATTTTTTTAAAAAAAAACATTATTTCAACCATTAAAATTTCAAATAATAGAGGCCAAATAGGGACTTATCTATTGAGTCAAAAAGGATTCAAATGCTACACACTCGAATGTGTCGAAATGCTACACACTCCAACATGTCGTAAGATCAAATGGCAATAAATACTTTGTACTCAAAATCCTTATCATCACTCAATTTAAATATAGCCGACCTCCCATCTCATCGCAATGTTCTCGTTGTCAATTGCGTGTTCGTACCCTCCTCAACTATACATGGAGAGTTATCGTATTTGGGCTTCAACGGAAAAACAAAAGATAATTAAATCTCCAAATTTACAAGAATATTGAAACGAAGAAAATTTCTTGGCTTATAGATTGAGTGTAATTTCCATGATGGAGAGAGCGAAACTTAATAACCATATAGAGGTGTATCCCTATTTCATCGAAAACTGATATTTTACGAAACTAGATTAGGTGCTAAAAGGAGGAGAATTGTCCACAAATTTCAACCAAAAGATAGCGACAAAAACATAAGACTCAGCAGCATAGGAAGTGTGAAACATTAGTTGAAAACACGATAGTCACTGAATTCATTCTGTTTTATAATACAGAATAAATACTCAATTAACTTTCATTCTTGTTTTATGTTAGCTTTTCTATGGCTTATAAGTTTTTTTTCAAAATTTAAAATTCAAAAGACAAAAATATAAGAAAAGAAAAATGCATCTCTTCTCGAACTTACATAAAAATAACATGATGAGCTTTCTTTGAAACAAAACATCTGTTTGTGGTGATTAAAAATATCTGCATTACTACACCGATCTAAAAGCACACAAAGAATGTACGAAAATAGAAGGAAGAATAATTGATCAAAATGTACAAATATAATTAAGTCAATAAAATGAGAAAATACAAATAATCAAAAATCACAGAAAACTTACCTTGACCAATTGATTTAGGGCAGTTATTTTCTGAGGAGTTGGATCCACAACATTGATCAGGAATTGTGTGACTTTGATAAACTCAACCTACACATATGCATGCTTTTGATAAAAATGACAATAAAGGAGTTAATAGCACGATAGATATGACCTATAAATCTATGAGCCCACCTATATTTTGTAAAGTGGAAATGTAGAAGTGAGAATTATAGTAGCCCAAAGGTCAAAATAAAAGTTTCAACATGCCCAAATATTTTTGAGAGGTTATGAGGGCTAATGCAAGTTCATCATTTAACCCAAATTCGGTGAGGCCCATTAATTAACCCCACCCACATCTTTTTCAACTTATTTTAGTGGATGAAATGAATTCCTATAAAGTATCAAGTCAGAAAAGGTACCAATTAATATAATTTGTGTAGGTATTTAAAATACAAATAGACTTTCCTCTGTATGTGTACCAATACATACATAAAACAGAACTAAGTAGAATAGTATGGTGTATTATAAACACGAATTGTTCTTCATACACTCACCAATACAGGAGATCCAAAATCATTGAAACGGTAAGCAGATTCCAATGGCTGTAGTTTTTCATTGTACAAAACAAGACAAGTAGGGTTCTGCAAAAAGTTAAAAATGATATATTAGGCAGTTTTTTTTTCCAGATGTACATGCAAAGAATCAAAGAAGTTAAAGAATAGTGAATGTCAAAAGTTTTCACTAGACAAACTATTAACATATCAACACAAGTAAAGAACTACTGGAGACATGACAAAGCGAGTGAAAGAGTACCTTCTTTTTTGATTTTGTGCTATACATCATAGGAAGCATTGGTAGTGATTGAGTAGATCCTGCTTTGATCAATGACAAGGTTATCTAATTGCTATCTTAAGTCGAACAATAGAAGTTACTGACCATTTGAGTAAGAACTGCCATTCATTGTTGCTCCTTCACTTTTCTGAATAAAATATACAAAGTTGTTCAGCAACAGAGCTTAAGTTTTATGACAAAAACAAACAGTAAAAAGGAGGATAGATGGCTACTTACAGCCAGTAAGGCATCCAAACCTTCCATTGATGTGAGACTCGGTGTTTCAATGTCAGCTACAAGAATAAAAGAATAAAATGAAATCTAAAAGTTGACAACTTTAAATATTAAGAAATGCTGAAAGAATAGACAATGATACAAGGCTAAAAATGCAAGTCTCAGGCCCCAATTTTGAGTTTATATTACTATTTGTAACACAACAGTGCTGCATCAATAATCCTTTGTATTTAACTGTAAAGGCATGTAAACCCATACTAAAAATACCATATAAAGCTTTCAAACTTTGATTTGCTGGTCTATTCTGTTCAAACTTCTAATGCAGGATAGAAGCAAAGATAGACAGATATTCCACTTGCCTGTGCTCTTAAGATCTGAGGTCAGTTCATTTCCTTCTTGTGCAAGAGAGATCAGCTGTAGTTGTTGAAGAAGCAACCAGAAGAACAAGAGAAAAAAGAAAGGAAAACATAAGTCAAGTCTAAACAATATCATATACAGGATGTAATTCTCTCATTTTTTTTTTTTCTTTTGAATACAACCTGCATTGCAGTGATGAACTCCTTGAATCCTAGAAATCCTTGCCGTTTGGGTTCAGCAATAGCCCAAACCTTTGATCAACAAAATGAATATGAAAAATGAAGGGAAGGAAGACTGTGAAAAAATATATCAGCTAAGCAGATAGCAGAGAATAAATAAAGTGATTATCAATATTCAATTTTACCAGCGGAAGAAATCTTTGGTTGTAATAAGAACACATAGTATTTAACAGATTTACAAATTACACATCCGCAATTTTATTAGTTTCAATTCAAATACATTATTCCTAGTCTTACATAATAAAAGGTAAAAATACAAATTGTGGAAATTAATAAAATATATTGATCTATAGAATTATAACCAAGAGCAGCACAGATTCATTGTGGACAAGTAATGTTAATCTTGACATATCAAATAGATACTCAACCTAAAATATGTCCATTGAATCACTACAGTTGCCACTACATAAGTACTCAAAGCCATCAAAAAGTCGAGTCGATCACTCAATATCAGAACTCAAAATTCACTGTTCCTCAAAAAAATGAAAACCGTCAACAAAAATGACCAAAAAATCTTATTATCGACTAGATGATGAATATAAACAGGCAAAGCAGATAGTGCACACAGGCTGTTTAATAAAACCAACAAAATTAAAAAAAAAATAACTACTCAATTAATAACATTTATCTTTCACATAGAAATGAATATTTTACCTGCTCGAGTTCATGTTTCGATAGATTGGACATCTCAAAAAACTTTGTTGCATCATTTCCAGTCAAACGACCATATCCATCTATACACAATAAATAAAAAAATTGTACGAATGAAGTGTGATTAAAGAGCAAGCTTGGTTGTTAACAAGGAACATTGAAATGGAAAAGAGAGATGAACCTGAATCGGCGAAATTGAACCAGGTCTGATAGATTTTCTGATCTTCTTTAGAACATAAACTGATCGGAACTGAAACCATTTCCATCTTTTTGAAAATGGACTGCAAATGATTCTACTGTGTGTGTTTGTTGATAGGAACAAAAATTTGAATTTGAAAACCCTGAAAAGAGGGAACTTCTTTTATGACAGTATTGGCGCAGGGGACCTCTACTCTCAAGTTCAATCTCTCCAAAATGTTGAACAGTATTAGCAAAAGTCGTGGTCATAAGACGCGACTTTAGATATAATAAAGCATTGATAGCAATTGGAGAAACTGTACTATTATAATCATATTATAAGATTAAATTAATGGTGGAATTAAGGGAATTCAAATACCATTAGCATTATCATGTTATCGGCAATTTGATTGACCATTGGATTATCGGCAATTAAGGTAATCTTATCATTATCATTAAAAGTAGATTGATAGAGAATGTGTGGTTGAAAAAGAAGGAGAAGTTATTGATCTGATGGAAAATATTATTTTATTGAAAAATATGTTGTTGAAAATGAGTAGAAGAATGATAATAAAAATTTTAATGTGTACAAAACAGGGGATAAAAATTATTAGTCCTCATTTTGCACCAAACTAAAATTCAACTCCAACTATTACATCAAATCTTACACCAAATGAACAGTGTTTAATCATTTTCTTTTTTTTCCTTCTTAGTAATTTCTTTATTCGAAATATTAATTATTTATTCACTTTAGAAGTATATAAATTACTAATAAATAATTGTGCGAAATGAAGGAAAATATTAAATTCATTAAATAAATATATTATTAAAACATGGGTACAATTAAAACGTATTAAATTACTAAATATTATTATTATTTTAATTAATTTAGTAATTATTATTTTTAACATTTCAAATTTAATTTAAATGTAAATACAAACTCTGCAGCACGAGCAAATCATAATCTATATCACCCATTTCAAGAAGTTTTATGTATCAATGGCGCTAAACCTTAAAATAGATAGGATTATAATCTTTACAAGGTCAAAGAAAAAGAATTCAGTTTCTTAAACAAAAAATCTCTAGGTATTCAGATATAGGGATCATTCCTAAGTACGGACAAAAATAGTTGAATGAGACTTAGAAGCAAGAGAAAGTCGATGAAATCCCAATGGAGAAATTCAAGAGGAGAAAACAAATAGAAAGCTGAATGGAAGAGGGGTTAAAAGACCTACATTAATGATAAATGCCAAATTTAGATTTTTATATTTGCAACACATAATTCGAATTGATCAAATATAATATACTCTACTAAGATTGTAAGTGTCTGATCAGAGAGCCGTATGCAAGATTTTTGAAAGTAATTTCAGATTCAAACAAAATATATAAACAAATAAAACACATACCACCAATGGGATACAAATGTTCCTGCAGACCATCATTTGCCATGAACTCGTAAACCAGCAACTTATGGTTGCTTTCTGAGCAGAATCCAATCATCGGGAGCAAATATGGCGACCGCAACGACTCAACAAATCCACCTATAATTATATAATACACTATCGACAATAAGAAAAATATAACAAGGGGGTGGGGTGGGACTAAGAAACATTTTGCATTCATACACAATTAAAAATTATAAATTTAACAAGGAAAAACGCCGACAGGGACAAGACCTCCACTTTGAATTCCTCTTCTCCTTGTTTACCAGCCTGATTCATCAACTTAACCGCAACCTTCCTCCCATCTTGGAGCACTCCCCGGTAGACCAAACCAAATGCACCATGTCCAATCACATTAGACTTTCCGAAACCGCCAGTGGCTGAATGCAGCTGCTTGAAGGTGAAACTTGAAGCCCACTATCAGTTGCAACTTGAATATTCACAAAATCTTCTCCTTTCTCCTCATAATCAACCCCTTTTGAATGCAAAAGGAGGTGAGAAATAATAAAAAAGAAAAAAATCAACAAATCCTCCACTTTATCCCGTAATAAGCCTAATTTTCGAGCTCATAATGGGGAAATATATTCTATTTCTAGGTCCAATTTGGACTTATGGTTCATTTTTTCCCTTCTCCACTCCTACAATTTTTTCTTTAACCACCAAACAACACGGTCATGACACGTGAAGGAAAGGACAACATCATGAAAATTACCCACCTTTTTATTCTCTTATACCCATCAATATACATTTTCAAAATGTTACCATATTACAGCAATACCTCCATCTTCTCAAAAGAACTATATCGAACACTAACATTCAATGGCTTTAGCCCGTAATAAGCCTAATTCATGTGCCCGTAATGGGGGAAAATCAAATTAACAGTACATTAAATTTCATAGTTCGAGTTTCGACTTAACACCCCCCCCCCCCCCCCCCCCCNCATTAGCCGCCAAACTACATGATAATCACGAAAAGTTCCCGCCTTTTTCATTCTCTTATGCGCATCAAAATGCATTTTCAACATTTTACCATATCTCGACAAAACCTCCATCTTCCCAAAAGAACTACATCAAATGCTAATAACAAGCCTAATTTACGAGCCTGTAATGGGGGGAAATCAAATTAACATTATACTTGTACTTATTGTTCTTTTTTTCCCTTTCACACCCCATGACTTTTTCTTTAGCTGCCAAACAAAATGTTACTAAAGGCAAGGACCACAATAAAATTGTCCTCCTTTTCATTCTCTTATACCCATCAAAATGCATTTTCAACATTTGAAAAAAAAAAAACTTATTCAACATCTACTGCAGAATAATCACTATGAAACCCATAAATATTCTCAGGTTCGCAAGAGTTATATCCATAAATTAAACCGTTGATATTCAAAGAATCAAATATTCGATTAGAAATATCAAAATATACTAACTTTTTTTGGGTTTTGAACCGCCTGGAGACTTTGTATCTAAGATAACAATAGTAGCTAAATGCCACTATCAAAGAAGCAATGGCAATAGATGCAAAAACCAGGATAGTCACCATTGCCACTCGCTCTTTCTTCTTGAAATCCTAAATCACGAATGACTTGTTAAATTCCTTACCGTTGCAGAGGTCGATGCTGGACTCTTCATTGTTAATGTTGTAGAGTATGCCCTCATACCTGACCTCACTTTTCGATGTCAAGCTTATAAAGCTACCGATGTACGAATCCGCCGATGCTCTACCGCCAGATCTACTGCTGGACGCCGCCGTTGAACTCTCAGCCGCCATCCCTTTCCACCGCTTCTTGACACCCGCCACTTGTCGATTCGGTAATCCATTATATAAAAAATTATGTACGTGTAGCTTGATCCAAAAAAAATAATCTGTATTTACGTAATTATATGATTATGTTTATAGTAGTTTAATACTATTTATTTCCTTGAAAATTAAAACTATTGAAGTGAGTGATAGTTGACTAATATTTAGTACAGAAAGCATCTGTTTGACACAATTTTCAATCACATATTGAGGGTCAGTTCATTTTTTGTCATCCGTTTTAAGAATATATTTTAAAATTGTTAAAATGCACTTGGTTTGTCATTTTGAAAAACTATTTCTCAAAATAGAAAATTATAAAATATGTTTGGTTTGAATTTTGAATTTTTTTTATAGCATTTTAATCTATGAAATCTAATTATTCAAGTACTGTATACATTTTAAAGTGTTGAATTTTGCAATATTTTTCTCGCTATAAAAGTAAAATAAAAATAAATACTAAATTGAGTTCAAAATATAGAAAATAAAAATAAATATTAATGACGTGAACTGAAAATATTTTTATATGTGTTCATTTATATACTTTTTTTTTAGAATTTTTGTATAAATAATAATTAAGGTTTTGAACTATTTGAACTATATTTTTTTTAAATTTTATTTTTCGAGAGATTTTATGATTTTTTTGTTAGAATTTTAAATTTTGTTTTTTTAAAAAAAAATATTTTCAAAATCTCATTTAAATAAAATTTTATGTAAACGCTTGTTTTTCCATGATTTGAGAGTTTCCAAAATTTTCACTGAAACATTAAAAATGTGTTTTTAAGTTTTGTTTTATAAGTTTAACCTTATTTTCAAAAATGCATTTTTAGAAACACCACACGGTCCACACCAAACACGTTTCATTATTTTACAAAATTGAAAACTGAAAACAGCATACCAAACGCAACCTTAGTTGTTCACTTTATTTAGGATATCAATTTATTCATTTTACTAATAAAATTATGATTTTTTTTTAACGAAAATATAGATGGAAATCATTTACTAGAAATCAGTGAACTACGACTTTAAATACGTATACACATATTTAAAATATTAATTTTATATAACATGATTATACTATCCAAAGCATAAACGAGCACCGCTGCTGAATCATCGCAATAGGGCGAGGCGCTGTTGCCCCTCCCATGGGACGGTGAGCCGCCCGTTTGGAGAGAATTTGGGGGCGAGGATCTTACTTGCAATTTACGAAATTGTAGGTCCATTTTGCAATTTCATTTCTAACAATTTGAGAAATTGGGGAGCCTATTTATAATTTTAAAATAGGGGTTAGAATGCAATTTCAAAAGGGAGTTTGAATATAAATTTTGAATTTTGGCTCGTTTAAAACTTTATTTAAAAATTGACAACTTTTTAAATTATCGTCAAAATTAGATTTTAACAAATATCTAAAAATTTGACCCTAAATTGGATTTTATTTAGGTTTTAATAAATATTTAAAGCTTTGACCTAAATTTGATTTGATTTTATTTAGGAGTTTTATCCTGGATTAAAGTATAAATTTAATTTGCCCTAAAATTTTGGAATTAGAGTTGGACTCTAATTCGGTGATTAATTAAATTTGATCTTAATTAAATACGCTTCCCTTGAGGTTATAAAATTGAAGTTGGACTCTAATTTGATCTTAATTAAATACGCTTCCCTTAATTAAATTTGATCTTAATTAAATACGCTTCCCTTGTTCCAATCCTATAAATTAGTTTAGATGATCTTAATTGCTAGAAATTTGAAAGATGTTTATATAGCCCCTGTTTGACACCCATTTTTTATCTCATTCTCATTCTCATTTTTCTACAGTACTCATTTTTAACCACACATTCTCCAAATAAAATAATATTACACATAAACCCAAAAATTCTTCTTACTTTTTAACCACACATTCTTTACATCAATCACTATTCAAAAACTCATTCTTCAAAATAATGGGTGTCAAACGGGAGTAAAAAGCTCTTTTTGTTGTAGTGGTTATATAATTATAATATTAAGCACCTGTTTGTGCTCCATTAAATTTAGCCCCTGTTTGACACCCATTTTTTATCTCATTCTCATTCTCATTTTTCTACAGTACTCATTTTTAACCACACATTCTCCAAATAAAATAATATTACACATAAACCCAAAAATTCTTCTTACTTTTTAACCACAAATTATTTACATCAATCACTATTCAAAAACTCATTTTTCAAAAGAATGGGTGCCAAACACTCACATAATATCAAATATTATATAGGAATACATTTATGTGATGAATGTGTATTTAGTGGATGATTATTGATTCAACCATGCTGATGTGTTGAGTGGTTAGTTTTTAATTCTTCTTGTTTTAGGCATACGAGCCCTTTATTAATTTTGGGCCTATGAGATGGATACCATAGAGACCAAACATTTTATGATTCAATGTTATATTCCCTTGGAATTGACCAATTAGTCCTCCTTACAACTCGGGAAGACTAAATATTAAAAGTCCATAATTATTCACACTATTATATGTATGCTCATTTGCTTGTTTGATGTATGATAATATATTGCATATATTTTTTTGATGAGACCTATACATGTTAAATCTCTCGTTAAAAGTATTAACTGAAGTTTATAATTCGTCTTATTCATTATAGCGAAAAATCAAAGTCCCTCATTGATATCAGTTTGTTGAGTACACTCAAAGTTGGTCAATTAGGGATATGTTTAACACTATTGAATATTTCTGAATGATGGTTTTGACATAACTAAAATTTATATTTTGTTGAGTATTCTCTAGGAGATAAATTTTAGAGGCATATTAAGCTAACACATAAAATGTGTGAAGACAAAGAATTGTCAATTTAATCATCTAGGAGTGATATGAAGATACAATTAATAGCAGTATATACTCAAATATTTTATTTAGGTTTGTTGAGTTACTCAAGGTCTTAATACTACAAATGAGATCCTAGTCCACTAAAAATTAAGTACGGATTCCAGAAATTTATGTGAAAGTGTCATAAATTTGAATTAAACAGTGAATGTATAATTAATTTGATAAAATGTCATGTTAAATTAATTGATGCATTTTTCAATATATTTAATTCTTTTATTTTCGTCATTTATGTTTTTGAATCATAAGTAACTATATGAATTTGAGAGGCATATGGATACCAACAAACTGACTTAGCCAAATTTTCTCGATTGGTATCTTAATTTGAGAATTGTTTTGAGGTATGAAAAAAATTGGTTATGTTACTGAGCAACTCTTTTCAGAGACACATACTGAGAAAGAGGTGATTGTTTATAATAAACACAATGATGACGAAATACTGTAACATATGTGATACTTGCAGCTATATCATCTAAATTGAAAAAGTAACACGAGGCTATGGATACTAACATTATGGTTTTTCATCTTAAGGAGTTGTATGATGAACATTCACGTATAAAAAGATATGAGATTTTCAAGCGACTATACTTGTGCAAAATTGTAGAATGATCTTGAGTCAGTGCTCATGTACGAAAGATGATTAGCTATAGAATAACTCTACTTGTACATAATTTAGGTTACATAATGGTATCCATACACTCATATGGGGTGGGGTCCGCTCAAATATTTTATTCGAGCGGACCCCACCCCATGTGAGTGTATGGATATCATTATGTAACCTAAATTATGTACACCAAGCATCACTCTTAGCTATATTGATAATTTGTCTTGATTGAATTCAATCAGTGCACATGTACTATGAAAAGTGAAATACCATCTGTGTATGATAAGTACCATGGATGACAGGGTTTGGGTCAGAATAGTTTACCAAAGCAAGACATGATAGTAACCATGAATGTGGCAATCTTGATAGAGTAATTGTAATGGTCCAATTATATTTGAAAACTCAATGGACCTTTGTTTTTTGCAGCAATTACTGAATGCAATTATTTTGTAAGTTATATTACTGTACAAAATTGTGAAATTCTTATGAGGGTACAAAATTACTCGCTAAAATGCTTCGAATATCGACCAAAATAAAAAGAGCGAGCTTGAATAAATAGAAAAACTAGCAATAAATACGATAAGATAACTAACGATTCTATGTAAACTAGTTCAAAAAATGTGCCATCACAAAAGTGGCAACTTGTCAGGCACCCTTAGTAACTGGATTCACTTCATAAGGAGGAAGAGGGTGTCGTCGACATCTTCTTCATGAGCCTCTAAAAAATTCACATCCCATTCAAAATGAAAGTTGTACATGACGTCAAGTATCTTATTGCCCTTTCCTACATTGCATCTATAATGATTTTGGCTTTGCAAGCACTTGCCCCGAAAATGCTAGACTCTGCAATAGCAAGTTTTGTACACTACTCCCCACTTTATAGCAAGTTTTGGAAATTTCATGACAAGACTTCTCAACAAAAGCATGATAATTCTTTTTAGCATGTTCTAAATCTTTGGAAATCTTCTTAGTGTGTGTTTGTCTTTCATTATTGTAGAAGAAATGGAGTAATGAATAATATTTTTTGGAGAATGTGTGGTTGAAATTTAAAGTAACTTTATTGATTTGTGTGTAGAATATTTTATTGGATGAGTTCGTGGTGGAGAATCTTATGGTAGCAAACAATATTTTGGGATAATGGGAGACAAATGGGCATTAATATCTTAAGCAAAGTAACCTCCTTAGCAGTATACACTTGCGAGATTGCACTTTCTTATCCAAACTATCAGCTCGTAGAAAGAACACTTCATATTCTGTCTGCTGATCATGATATACAGCATCTCGCATAAGATGAGCATCATTAATTTTTCTATGTTGCGTTGGGGTAAGATCCTCCATAAGTTTTTCTCATGACTTACTAAAATACGTAAAAATAAACCTTATCGCCCGAGAAACAAAGGTGTGTAAAATAGAAAGAATCCCAAAATCTAATTCCTCGTCAAGATGAGGACTGTATAAAAGGCTTTAAATCTGGGAAAAAAAACTCCCTCGACGAGT